ATTTGATTTTTTCATGTCCAGTAATATTTGTTTTATAAAGTTAGGTGTGCTGGTATTTGATACATATGTATTTGTTTGTTTGTTTGTTTGTGGGTTTTTTTGGTACCAGGGATCGAACTCGGGTCCTTGTGCTTGTGAGGGAGGCGGTGGAACCACTGAGCTAAATCCCTGGCTATACATATATATTTCTGATTGTCATCTCTTCCTCTTGGATTGTTCCCTTTACAAAGATGTAGTGACCTTCTTGTCTCTCTTAATCAATCTTGGCTTGACCTACTTTGTCTACAAATAGAATAGCTACTCCTGCTTTTTTCTGGGCTCCTGTTGCACGGAGTATTGTTTTCCACTACTGGGGACCCCAGCAGTTAGCTTCTCTTCTCCTGCCCAGTATATGATGCAAGCCTGAGAAAAAAATACACTAAGCGACAGAACTAGGAGATAAAAAGCGAGTTGCCAGGATGACCAATGCCAGTGTAACTGACAAGGGTGCTGGACAGTCCCAGGCACTTACTTTTATTGGCAATCAATTGGGGTAAAGGCAAGCCACGTCCAAGTCAGGAATTTGTGAGAGGAAGTGGAATCATGTGGTTTCTATGGAAACTATGTAAGCAAGACTCATAAAGGACAAGACAAAACATTCTTAAATTAGGAACAGAATAGACAAAATACATGGTTGTAATTAGAACATTGTCCTTCTAGTAAGATTTTAATTGTGGAAATGGAATTTGGGTGCAAGTTACTCTGACCTCAGCACGTAGGCTTCAGCCAGACTCGCTTCTATAAGCAAGCCAATTATGGTGTTAACTCTTCACAGCCAGCTTTGGGCATAATCAATATTACAGTCTCCCACATCCCACCCTTTAACTTTCAGTCTATGAATTTCTTTTTGAATTAAATGTGTTTCTTGTATGCAGCATGTTATTGGGTCTTGCTTCTTGATCCATTCTGCCAGTCTGTTTTTTGGGGGGGTTCTTTTGGTACTGGGGATCGAACTCAGGACCTTGTGTTTGCAAGGCAGGCGGTGGAACCACTGAGCTAAATCCCCGGCCCCAGTCTGTTTCTTTTGATTGGTGCTTTGAGACCCTTTACATTGATGGTTATAACTGATATGTATAGAGTTATCTATCCTATGTTATTTTCACTTGCCTTGCCTGGTAGAATTGTAGTCTTCATTATCTCTTTCTAGAATGTCCTTCAGAACATTTTGGAGTGCTGCTTTGGTGGTCATGAATTTCTTCAGGTGTTCTTTGTCATGGAAGTATCTTATTTCTCCATCAATTTTGCAAGATAGTTTTGTGGAGTACATCAGTCTGATTTGGAGGTTGTTTTCTTTTTTTTTTTTGGTACCAGGGATTGAACTCAGGATCTTGTGCTTTTGAGGAAGGCTCAGACCACTGAGCTAAATCCCCGCCCTGGAGGTTGTTTTCTTTTAGAGCTTGAAATACTTCACTCCAAGCTCTCCTTGACTTGAGGGTTTGTGTTGAGGAGTCTGCTGTGATTCTGATGGGCTTTCCTTTATAGGTGATTTGTTTCTTTCCTTTAAGAGCTTTTAATATTCTGTTCTTGTGTTGAATTTCTGGGCTCTTGACTATTATATGCCTTGGTGTAGGTTATTTTTATCACGGTTAATTGGAGTTCTATATATCTCACTTATTTGTATGTCAAATTCTTTTTCCATGCTTGGGGTGTTTTCTGCCATTAATTCTGTGAAGAGGATTTTTATGTATTTTGTGCTTTTTTTTAATGTCCTGGTTTTTTAATTGATGCCAATCAATCTTATGTTATTCCTCTTTGCATCATCTATCCACTGTTGGATTGATTTTTTTCATGGTCCCTTGCTATTTTTAAGAAATCTTTCTCTTTTTTTTTTGGTACCAGGGATCGAACTCAGGTCCTTGCGCTTGCACAGCAGGCGGCGAAACCACTGAGCTAAATCCCTGGCCCAAGAAATCTTTCTTTTCATGATCACTAATTTCAATCCTGTCTTCTATATCTGATATTCTGTCCTCACATTGGCTCATTCTGCTGTGTAAACTTTCAATGGAATTTTTAATCTCCTGGATATCTGTTTGAATCTGTTTCATGTATTCCATTTCTTTCCTATGTTGGGCATTCATGGTTTCCATCATTTTCCTAAGCTCCTCTGTGTTTGTTTTTTTTATCTGTATCTGCTCTAGAGTGACTAACCATGTCTTTCATTACGGTCATCATCTTTGTACTTATCTGAAGACTATTTCTGATTTGATGTTTTCAAGAGCCTCATTCATCTGCTTTGTTACTTTTGCTGTTACCACTTCAGAGAGTCCAGGGGGGTGGCTTTTGAATTGTACCTCCTCATTGCCCCCAGAGTTTGCCTTTGTTGAGCTAGAAGTCTGGGGTTGCATCTTGCTTAAGTGTCTTCGCATTTTTTATTTTTTTAAAGTTTAATTCTTGGGTAGATGCTTGTAAATTGCTTATGGCAGGTAGCTTTATTGCTAGTGTTTAGAACTCTTAGGCAATGACTACTTCACAGAGATGTCTTCTAGGTATAGCTGGCTTTTGGGTTTTAAGTCTGTTGCAAGGTCCTACCTCTTTAATTTATTGGGGATGAGAAGTTGCTGCCTATTTGGCCTAGCTCCTGGTTCCTCGGCACTGGCCTAGATAATATTGTTTATGACCCTTAGGCAGTCTCAAACTTGGTATACCAGGAAGAACAACTGATTAGAATGATTATGTCACTCTGCTGTCACTGTAGACAGAGTAGGCAGATAAGAGTCCAGATCCATGTTGATTAATCCCAGCAAGCCAGCCATAGATTTAAGGCAGGGTAGTGAATAATCCTAGCAAGCCTGCACCTTTAGTTCCACTGAAGTTCAGGCTGGTTTCTGGTTGTGAAGCTGGAACCCAATTTGTTCATCCTGTAACACACTTTGTGCCTCCTGCTGGCTTCAACTCAGCTCCCTGCCAGCTTGAACTCAGCTCTTTTGCCTCCTGCTGACCTGAACTTGGTTCCTCCTCACCCTGACACTGGGAGCCACCAGATGGAGCGTGCAGTTTCCCTGAGTTCCAAGCTCAGTTGTCCCCTCTCCAAGATGGCTATCAGCCAATCACCCTTTCCTGGGGGACATCTGAACCTGAATAACTCACCAGCCACTGCAATCTGCTGCATCCACTGCTCCATTCCACTGGTGCATTTCTCCATGGATACCCCTGAGGTTGCCAGTAGCCACTGTGTGTTTGAGCCACCCCCCCACACACACACACACTGTGAGCTGGGGCTCAGGGAGGAAGCACCACTTGACACCTCCTTCCTCTTTATTGAAATGCCTCTCTTTGGTCTCCCTATGGGCTTCAATTCTCACTTCAGATCCTTGCTGGCTCCTGGGGACCCACTTTCCTCCTTTTTTTCCTTACACACTATATTCCAGTGTCTAGACACCAAATCTTGGAAAGGCTGTTTCTCTCCTGTTCACCACTCCACCATCTTCCCAGAAGTTCTTAGATAACTCTCAAGGCTAATAATTCTAAAGCTGCCAATTCTGGATCGCCCTCAGTTTGGGCTTGTCTGGTCACAACCTGATCTTGGTGTGGCAGATGCAGAATGCCTTCTGGCCTTCATGCCTTCTCCCTGGTGTCAGTGCCAGCCTTGATTTCCTTCCTGGGGTCTTGGAGGTGTGCCTTCCCAGTCTCTCAGTTGGCTGCTTGCTCCTCAGCGTTAGGCCTCAGCTTGATGGTGTCCTGATGAGTGGGGAAACGACAGTGGCAGGCAACCTGGCTAAAGCTGGCCCAGCAGTTCTCCAAGTGTGGTCTTTGGGCCAGCAGGCTCAACATCCCCTGGGACCCACCCCAGGCCGGCTGAGTCAGACAAGACAGGTTTGGGGCTTTGAGGTCCTGGGCAGCTTGTGGAAAGAGGGTCTCAGTTGCCAGAAATGCTGGCTCACATGGCAATTTGGTCTTAGGAGGGGACAGCAGTGCAGTTGCCAGTCAGACCCTGAGCACGCTGCCCAGCTGAGCTTGATACTGAGCTCCCTGAATTCCTTAGGACAGAACGGTGCCAGGTTCCTGGGTTGGGCTATGGTTCTAGGTGGGCATCTCCTGGCCCCCACTGTGGGAAACAAGGCTTTGTGGATCTTTTCAGCATTGGTCCAATATTGTTTCTAACAACCTGAAGCACTTTTTTGTGGAAAGCTCAACACTTAAAAAAAAAGTTTCCAGTGACTCCAGCCAGCTGGCCAAAGGTGGACACAAAGGTCCTGAACTCTCTGAGTCTGGGGCTTTCTCTGGGTATGTTGGAGGAGTGATTCTAGATCGGGCTACCTTGAAAACTTATAGCGATTCCAAGACTTTAATTTGTGGGGCCAGGGAAAACTGGGAGCATCTTCCTTGGATTCACTTATTCTCCACCTAAGCCCCTAAAATGACTGATCAGTGTTGCAACTCAGCAGGCGCGAGTTGTTTGGCCACAGTATACCAGAGAGGGTGCTAGATGGGATAGGCAGATGTCTGCTTTCTGTGTCTGATTTTCGGCAATTTCCCGTATCAGCAATGGTCTTCTATGTTTTTCCCTTAAGTTTCCAAAGTTTGGCATATACTCCTGTGGAGGGGGTAGGCTCAGTTCAGAGGATTTGCCTCATGTGCATCCGGAGGCCCTGAGTTCAATCCCCCAGCACCAAAACCAAAATAAAACCAAGGATATAGGCCTGTAATTTATAGTACATTTTTGTTTGTTTTAAGACGGGGTCTTTCTATGTAGTTCAGGCTGGCCTTAAACTTACTACAAAGCTCAGGCTGACCTCAAACTCGAAGCAGTCCTCCTGCCTCAGCCTCCTGAGTGCTGGGATTATAGGCTGCACCACCACGAACCACGATTCATAGTATATATATATATATCCCCAAACTTCCTGTAGTAGTCATGTACTTAAATGTAGTTCTTTTGTGAACAGGAAAAAAGAAAACAGAAAATTCTCTTCCTTACTGTTGATGTATGGAATAGCAACAGATATTTTCTATTTTGTTTCAAGGTCAGCGGAGAGAAGTTATATGACTGGGGCTTACGAGGATACATAGTCGTAGAAGATTTGTGGAAGGAGAACTTTCAGAAGGTGAGAAACATCATTTTCATTATGCACCTTTTGGCTTGAATATGCTTCTTCGCTAGGATTTGGAGAAACACTTGATAACCCTGCTGCTTGACTTGCTTTTTCTGTTTTAGTTGTGTCTCCAGCTCAGATGCCCCAATACCCTCTCCTGGAAGAACACTCGCTCCTCAGCATTGGGTTGTTCTCAGTAGGGCCAAATGTGTGGTGACCATAAAACATATTCCACTGTACCTAACCACCATTTCTACTCTGTTCTGTTTACAGTTGGCTCAAAGTTAGCATATTATCCAAACTGGATCCAATCCTACGTTCCCAGGAGAAAAGACATAACTGAGATTTCCTTGCTCTTTCGCTTGTCATAAGCTCTGTCTTTCTGTGGCAGTACTGTACCTGTCCATGCCCCTGACGGGGGCAGAACTGTGGGTCATTAGGGACCAGACCCCAGCCACAGGCCATGCCCCTGTGCCAGCAAGTAGGGTGCAGCAGAGGGAGCAGGGGGTGTAGATGTAAGGACATGTCACCTTTCGTCCTCTTCTACCAGCCACATGACTCCTGCTAAGTAAGAGCAAATGTGGACTAAGCTTTGTGTCCCCTTAAGCATTCAGAGAAGCCAGCTAAAGCACAGTTAGGGTTCTCCTATCAGCATACCTTCTGCAGCAGAGCCTGAAGGAAGTTCATTTTGACTCCAATTATTTCCAATGAACATAAACTCATTTAAAACATATAAAATAGAGCCGGGTGTGGTGGTGCACACCTATAATCCTAGCACTTGGGAGACTAAGGCAGGAGGATCCCCACAAGTTAGAGGCCAGCCTGGGCTACATAGTAAGTTCAAGGCCAGCCTGAAGTGCATAGCAACACCCTGTCTCAAAAAAACAAAACAACGAAAAAACCAAAATATATTTATATAGAGAGAGAGCGGGGGAAAGACTGCCAAAAATGTATACAAACTTCAGTAAAAGAAAAACTTGTATAAATTTTTTTCTTGGTACCGGGGATCAAACTCAGGACCTTGCACATGCCAGGCAGGTGTGGTGCCACTGAGCTAAATCCCCAACCTATATAAATATTTTAATACTAAATTTATTGCCACATCATGGGATTAACACAAGTTACCTTTGGCCTCTACAATTACAAGAGGTGCTCAAAGTGGTGGCCATGAGCTTCCAGACATTTATTGGTACAGAGAACTGCTGTTTGGGTAACCTTGGTCAGTGAGATTGCTGCACATTCACTTTCAATTTCTTCTATATATATAGGTTGGGGATTTAGGTCAGTGGGAAAGTGTGTGCTTAGCATGCACAAGGTCTTGTGTTGGATCCCTAGTACCACAAAAAGAAAAAGAACTGGGGTAGTGATACAGTCCTGTAATCTGTGATATAGGGGGAAGAGATGTAACTCCCAAACCTATTAAATATCCAAAACAAGAGTTCGTGTTCTCTAAAATCAAAGAATGAGTTCTAGGAACAACGGAGGTTAAGAATGGAAAATTTATTTAGAGAAAGATAGCTTCTAAGAGAGGGACAGGAAGGTAGGTTTCCTTCCTACCCTGTTTCCCAGGGGGTTTTTATGGAGCAAAGCCACGTGAGGTGAGGCAGGTTCAAGGTGGGACAAAACTATACCACCCAATGGAAAATTACAAGGTGGGCATGAGGTGGGGCAAAACCATGACCAACCAATAAGATTGCAAGTACAGTCACCCAGGTAATATTGATTAAATGGGGGTCAAATGGGGAAACAAGTCACATACAAGGAATTTCCCATTTAGAATATCAATCACTGCTCTCTATCTCTAGGGGAAGTAGTGCCTCTTCTTTTCATAATGCTAACCAGTGAATGTGCCTCAATTGTTCTCCATGTTGGCTCCTTGCTGTGTTGGCTCCTGGCAGGCTGGCACCTTGAGGACTGGGGCCTTGAGGGCTGGTACCTTGAGGGGAGCCCTAACTGCCTGCAAGATATCTAATTAACTTACCTATTTACAGTATCAGCACTCTGGGAGGCTGAGGCAGGAGGATTATAAATTGGAGGCCAGCCTGGGCAATTTAGTGCCTTAGTGAGACCTTGTCTCAAAATAAAAAAGGGCAGGGCTTGTAGCTCAGTACAGAGGCCTTGGGTTCAATCCTAGAAGGGAGGGAGGGAGAGAGAGAGAGAGAGAGAGAGAAGATGAGAGAACTATCTCAAAATTAAAATCCAGAATCTTGAACTAGAATTTGAAAGTAACATTATAGAATAAAATGTTTTCCCTATTGTGTACATAAATGTACCAGTGGGAAAAAAATTTTTTTTTGAGACGGCTTCTTGCTATGTAGGCTGGCCTTGAACTTAACTTTGTAGCCCAGGCTAACCTCGAACTCACGAGGATCCTTCTGCCTCAGCCTCCTGAGAGCTGGGATTACAGGTGTGTGCCACCATGCCTGGATCTACCAGTAAAATCTTAAGACTGATTTTTATACTGATGATTTCTAAAAGAATTGGTGCCTTTTGAGCCTGTTTAAACTGCCTCTTCAATGGGAATTTCTTTCTGTATCAAGTGTTCCCCGACAATCCCTTTTAAAGAATAAACACTCCCAGCTTTATTTTCATTTCTCTGATATTTTCTTTGGAAGATTTCCTTCCTGTTTTAAGAAAATTCCTTAAAAAGTCCACACCACATTTTATGCGGGAAAGTAAATAAAATGCCAAGAAAACCCTACACAGCGCTAAAAAGAAACACGGGAAGTGAGACTAAATCAGGCTCAACTCTGAGTGCTGGGCACGCATGACTGAAGGCTGCCGGCCACCAAAGTGAAGGGGTCCCCAGGGCCTCGCGTCTGCAGACTTGTCACGCCAGGGCTAAGTGGGCTGCCTGGGCCAGGCGCAGGGCTGTGGTCAGAAGGCAAGTGAAGAGGCCAGCACTCTGGTGATTCGAACACCTAGGCACAGTATTACAGCTGCTCACATCCGCAGCGAGTCTTTCCAGAGAGGTGGGTTAGAGATGTCTAATTAGCTCATGGTTCCCTGGCATTTCTCCCTCTCTGTCTGCTACACCTTCTGCCTCCTCAAAGTCCATGTGAACTGCAGATGTTCTCTGAAGCCAGCCATGCTGGTGCATGCCTCTAATCCCAGCACTGTGGGAGGCTGAGGCAGGGATGAGTCCCACTGGAGCCAACCTAGTGAAACCCTGCCTCAAAATAACAAATAAAAAAGTCTGGAGTGCAAAGGTCCTGGGTTCAATCTTCAGTACCACCAAAAAAAAAGAAGAAGAAAAAAAAAAGAAAATTCTCCCATTCATTTACCCTGCAAGGATAATTTTCCCGATAGCCCTCAATTCTCAATAGAAGACAATAAAATTGATGTTAACTCCATTAAACATTTACTGTAGCCGGGGATTTAGCTCAGTGGTTCCACCCCCTGCCTCGAAAGTGCAAGGTCCCGAGTTCGATCCCCAGTACCAAAAAAAAAAAACATTTACTGTAAATTTGAAATGGAAAGTAGCAGAAAGCCCTATTAACTCAAGATTTGATAGATTTAGATTTCAGAAACTCTTTCCTAATGAAATGCCTCTGGTATTTGATGACACACTCCCACCTCCGCACCTTGCTGGGTTTCCTGGTCCCAGGGTTTCTTTGTTTTGTTTTGGAACAGGGATCTCTTGGGGCCCTGGAGCTGAGTAGTCTCTGCATAGAATTTCAAATAACTCAAAGATATATCAAAGAATAAAGGAGATGAAGTGTACAACCAAAGTACAAGTCAAAAGATGCTAAGTGTCAGAAGAGAGGCACACAAGAAAGTAGATTTTTGGATGAAGGGAGCCTGGCTCTTTGAAGGGAATTGGGGGACACTTCATGAAGGGAGAATTTCTAGACTGTTTCTTGCCTTGTTTGGAAGTCAGTATTCATTCGTTTGTATCGGAGGCCAGTGACTGCCTAGAAAGGGGTGTCAGTGAGGGCTAAAGAGAAAAAGACGACAGAGACTTGCATAATTTCTTTTTTTTTTTTTTTTTTTTGGTACCGAGGATCGAACTCAGGTCCTTGCACTTGCGCAGCAGGCAGCGAAACCACTGAGCTAAATCCCCGGCCCTATAATTTCAAAGTATATAGGGGGCCGGGAGGTCAGTGCCTCAGAGTGGGCAAAGACACTGACTCCGAGCTGGCCACTATTTATTGGGTACACACAGTAACTGGAGGGAGCATTGGGTGACTTAGGGCATGGCGGTGATCTCATGTCTGATCCTGTGCCAATGCAAATCTCATGCTGATAAGGAACACGTCTCTCCCCAGGTAAAACCTTTCTCTTTTGTATTACTACTTGGTTCTCAAGGAACCAGGATGCCTTCAGCTGGGGTCATCTTGCCGATGAGCAACCATTGAGGCCTCAGCTGTGATGGGAGGCAAAACGGAGTTATGTTTCTGAATGCCATAGCTGGCTCTTGGGCAAGGCAACACTGGGCCTTAGACAGCTATAGTCATGCTTTAATTATGATATGATTTTCTCCAAAATTTATGTAGAAATGCTCCGACATGTTTGTTTGTTTGGAGACAGAGTCTTGCTAAGTAGTCCAGGCTGGCCTTGAACTCACTTTGTATCCTATGCTGGCCTCAAACTCACAGCGATCTTCCTGTCTCAGCCTCCAGAGTCCTGGGATTACAGGTGCGTACCACCATGCCCAGTCTGAAAGTCAGTTTTCAAATCAAATTTAATTACCAGTCTCAATTAGGTGTCTTCTCATTCATGATTGTACTCTAATGATGTAACAGGTACACCTGCTCTTAGTCGTATGAACTTGAAGAAACTTGTGGACATTATGTTTAAAACAGGGCCTTTAAATGTCCAATGATACAAATGACAGCTCAGTTGTTAATTGCATTATTTCCCACATGACCACAGTACTCTCAGGTACCCAGAACAAGTCTGTGGCATTCTGCTGCTCTGCCACACTCCTCCCACCTTGTAGGAATTGATTCTAAATATTTGCACTGTGTCTGCTACTAACAGTTGGGCTGGAGAAGTCTTGTAGTCTGTCA